CCCCCTACTTCCTATCTAGAATACAACTCAGACACTGGCGATACCGACTAGTTCCTGGGATGTTGCCAGTGAGGACAGTACATCTATGCTGATCTGAACAGAATCTATGTACAACTAAGAGAATAAGCAGCTCAACCCCCTCTAGTTAGTCTTTCGTCTCCCCAACCCAGCCAAAGTTTAAGGAGATCTCCTTGGTTTTTTTTGTTTTTGTTTTTGTTTTTTGAAATGGACATCTTTCCAGTAGAAACTCGGCACTGGCTGAGGTACCAATTAATTTTGCATAAGCTGCCATAGCACCATTAGATGCTAATCCGTTCATTCATAACCACAAGGTATTGTGTTAGGGTCATGTACATGACTTGTGCCTCTAGCCCTGTGGATTTATTTAGTGCTTAGCCTCTAGTTCCTGCAGCTGTGTCCTTTCAATGACTGCTTTATGGTGGCCAAGAGAGTTGAGGTCGGCTGCCAGGACTCTGAGATCTGGAGGAACACATGGACACATTATTCTTTTACTCTGAAGCTATCCAATTCCTGTTCCGGTCAGATGGGGAGATAGTGGGAGAATATCTCTGAAACAGCCCAGCACTTAGTGTTGATGATATTACTCATGCCTGACATTATTGCAAAAAAGCAGGCTGAAGTCTACCCATAGCGTGTTCTTCAGTGGAAGGTTAATTACTAATGAAAGTGTAATAATACAAAACATAATTCTGAATGTAGCTCCTGGCTTTATTTGTAAGAACTACTATGGGGCCATTATTTCCTTTATTCTAAGACTACACATTGGATCCAGTCTGATTCATACAAGAGGCCATGAAAGAGGGCTTACTATGCTAATTGAATACTAATGAGGCTTTTGCTTAAGTTGTTTTGTGTTACAATTATTTGCAACTATATTTCTTCTGTACATACGTACAGGGGACAAAATACTCAAAAGTAGCAAGATTCTCACTTCCCCTGAATATTTAGAAGAAAGTATCTTGCCACTTTTTCTCCTGAACTTGTAACATTTGTAAAGGGTTTTGTTCAGCACTAAGGAAAAGCAAAATATCATCATCATTATTACTGGCCTTTGTCCACCGTGGCTTTCATCCAGATTCTAACCAGTGACTCTGTGACTAACAATCTGAGTCACTAAGTTTCATATGTTTATGTATTTCAACACAATTCCCAGGCCGAGGGGTTTTTTTATTTATTTATTTATTTTCATGTTTCAGGGCTGAGGAAAAAATAAATGCCTTTCTGTATTTTTGAATCCAGTGTTACTGAGTGACAGACTGAGCAACTCAGCACCTAGATTGAATTGCTCCTTCAGTAACAGATTAGTATGGTCAAAAGTTTAAAAACTACCGAGGTGTCAAAAAATCAGTATGTATTCTTAGGACAAACGTCTTTTGGCCTGGTGGAGAATTCAGGTAAATATAAATATTTGTGATTTTACCGTGGTAATGACACAAGATAATCTCAGAATTTAAAATGCAGGGAATCTCGGGGCTACTGGGTGGCTCAGTCAGTTAAGTGGTTGACTCTTGATTTCAGCTCAGGTCATGATCTTGGGGTCCTGGGATTAAGCCTTGCATTGGGGTCCTCACTCAGAGGGGAATCAGCTTGAGGATTCTCGCTCTCCCTCTGCCCCTCCCCCTGCTTGTGTGCACTCTCTCTCTCTCTCAAATAAATCCCCCCCCAAAAAAGTGAAATAAAATGCAGGGAATCTACCACTAAAATGTGATACAGAGAATGACAGAAAAACTCAAGTATATTTATTGGTTATTAACTTAGCAAAGAGATACCTCTTTATTCTTACAGCCCCTTCAAAGAAATATCAGAAAATGGACATTCTGAGCTCAAATATCCCTTTTTCATGTAGAAAGTTCCATTATTTTAATAATTTTCTCATTTTCCTTATCAATTCTCATACCAGCCCCAACTTGTCCCTAGACTATAACTGTTCCCGATTGGTCCATCACACCCATCTTAAAAAGGCAATTACCCTGTCATTTTCAGATCAACTAACTTTACAGGCATTTGCTCATACATTTTCACAGTATCTCAGATTAGTAACACCTTACAGTTTCATGGGATTTTTCTGAAAATTCTCTTGCCTGTTATCGTTAATCTCATTCATTATATGCAATCGAACAGTAATGTATTGCCCCCTCTTATAGATGAAAAAATTGTGGCATATTAAATTGATGTAATTGGCTTAGCCTCATTGGCTAAGACCATAAGGATTGTTACTAAAAAAAAAAAAAAAAATCAGAATTCTAGTGCAAAGCTATTCCACTAACTGAAATTTGAGATTTTAAAAGAATTTTTGCCTCTACGTTCTCATAACGCAAGATTAAGAATTAAGCCTGGCCAGATGAGTTGTTATTCTTGGATACTGGTCCTTGCAATTACTATTCACGATATCAAGTGTTACATCGCATTACTTTAATGCTGCCCAAAGTATCGAAGTATAATTAGATCACACAAAATGTCATCCAAATACAAGATAATAAATTTACTTTTAAAAATGATTTGTTAAAAAAAAAGGTATATTTAAAAACTAGAACAAAAATCCAACTAGCTGGTGTCAACTTTTGTATTGCTAGTATAATTTCTATCAAGTTCTTGGAAAATTCATTGATCAGTTATACTTGAATTCTCATCCTTTTCTTCTCTAGTTCCTTTCACTCCCAAGATCTTTAAGTCAATGCAATGAATTCTATAGTACTCTAGATTTGCAACACCCAAGTATGGGTACCACTAACCACAGGTGGCCACTGAAAACTTTAAATGTGGCTACTTTAAGCTGAGATGTGCTGTAGGCATAAAACACAGTAGATTTCAAAGATCTATTATGAAAAAATGAATAAACATCTCAATAAATGTTGAAGTGATATTTTTCCTATATTGGTTTAAATAAAGTGAATTATTAAAATTAAAAAAAATTTGTTCATCATTCTGTGGTCTTCTTAGGATGTCCTATACAGGTCTAGACAGGATGTTCTTGAGCATACATTCATAAGATTCCTGTTGTCATTCAAGCAAGTTATATTTTTTCATCGTGATCCCATTTGGTTCTGCATTTAAATTAATGGCCTTTCTAAGGAAAAATTTACTCAGAGTTTCTCTTCCATGTTCCACAGTGCCTGAGCTGGGCCCAGAGTGGGTTGCTTTTTGATTTCTGTTTAGCAGCTACACCTGTCATTTATTTTGAGGCCCCTGCCCCTGTTCTGACTGACCCATGACCCACACTGAGCCTCTTAGGGGTAAGCTTGATTTTGCAGCAGTAAGAAGATAACATAGGATACTTTACAGAGTGGTTCGAGAACCACCTGCCTTTCGCTCATCTGAGGTCTTGGTAGCACGGATTTCCATGTCCGACCCCAGGGCTTCTCCACACAACCTGCGGGGTAGGGTTAAAGTAGCTGAAGCTGCTTTCACCAGCTCTGCAAGCGAGTGTCGTGAACCCTATGGTTTGATCACACCCCCGTGATGGTACTTTTCAGTTCCTGGAAGTTTTAGTGACGGTGGTTGTGAAGATACTTCCTGGGCTTGGTTTTTGATAACGTCAGTGGAAGATGGACTTTCACCTTTGGGAAAAGAGGTGAGAGGCAGACTATAAAAATGGCCCTGAGCAAGGACCGCTGACAAGGACGGGCGAAAATGTTTACCTGCACACCAGGAAACAAGATCACCCAGTGTCCAGCACCGTGCCGGGTCTCCGCGATCCACGGAGCTGTCTTTCTTCCCCTGCGCTGTTAGCCGGGGAAGCCGATCAACAGTGCTGAGCACGGCCACGTCTGAATGACGAGTAACTTTCCAACTTAGAGCGACATTAACTGCTTGGTGGCTATTTTCCCCTCAAACCAAGCAAAATCAGCATTCCTCTCCCTGCCGTGTGCCAGAACCCAAACACAAACAAAACAGTCTTTTGGAGAGAGAGGCCTGAGTCCGAGAACCGTGTTCAGCTCGGGGCTGCAGACCCAGGACGGGGCTGCAAAGAATGCAACGGGACAAGAGCGAACAGGGGAATGAATATATACTCAAGGAACGTGGGGCCCTTGCGGAACGGACGAAGAACCGGCACATTCGGTGGGGGGAAGGCTGCATTAGGGGTTCAATTAACAAAAGATTCATAAAAGAAGCTTTCGAATCTGAGAGCGATTGCTTTAAACTGCAACCCGAAACCATGAAAGTCTGGCCACAGGGTCTCACAAAAGTGGTAAAGTAGATAATTTGTAAAAATGTCTCTCCCTTTTCCTCCTTAATGCGGTGAAGGAAGGGCCCTATTTCAGATTCCAGATCCTAAACTGCGGGCTTGGGCCGGGATAAAAGCAATCACAGGGCTCTTTCAAACTGCGGGCTGGGCGGTTCGACGATTTAAAAAAAAAAAACCCATTCGGGAGAGTTTCGTCCACAGCCGTACTTCGAGAACATCCCATAGCGCAGACTCTGCGCTATGGTCACGGATTTTACTTGGGATAAAGAGCGCATAAAAATTAGCAGGCAAGATTCAAAGACATTGTTCGCCTGAAAGCCGGGGACCACAGCCTTAGGGAGGCGGGGGCCATGGGAATACATTCTCTTGCTGTAAAATTCCAGCCGCGGGCAGCCGCGTCCTCCCGAGTCCCAGCGGGGAGCAGGCGGCAGGGCTCCGGGGCTCCGGGGCTCCGGGGCTCGCAGACGGGCGGGCGGCGGCCGCGAGGGACGCGCCCCGGGCCTGCGCTCAGATGGAGCGCGCGCGGCTCGGCAGCTGCGCCCCGCGCCGCCCGCCCTGCGCTCCCGGCCCGCATCGCCGCCCGCGCCCCGGGACCCGCCGGGGGAGGGGGCCCGGGCAGGGGGACGCGGCGGCCTAGCCGCTGGAGCCGCGCCAGGCGCGGGGTCCGCGGCGCGCGGTCCTTCCCCGCCGGCTGGCCCGGGGCGGGGCGGCCCCGTCCCCGTCCCCGTCCCCGGTCCCATCCCCCTCCCAGCCCTTCGCCCTCCCAGATCCTTCCCGCGCGCCCTTCTTCCCTTCCCGCTTTCCCCGGGAGAAACATGGCCGGGAGCAGCGAGGAGGCGCCAGACTACGGGCGAGGCGTCGTGGTAAATGCAAACTCCCGATTTCTGGGCTAAGTCGTGCGCTCCCCGCTCTCTCCCCTCCCCTCCCTTCTTGGCACCCTCCTTTTAGATTAAATGCCTGAAATGCATTCGCGTGAAATGCGGGCGGGCCACTGCTTTGTTCTCCCGTCCCGGGGCTGATGGCTTCCATTCTCCCCTCCCAGCCGCCCCTCCCCGCGCGCGACCCGACCCAACACTTAACAGCCCTGTACCCCGTGTTCTCAGTGTCCCCTCCGCGCCCCTCCCTCCCCTCCCGGGCCAGGAATCGGATACTCCAGCGCTGACCCTGTGTGGTGCCGGGTCCCCACTCCTGCTAGCCACGACGAGTCATCTTTGGGAGCAGGGCGGGTCTGTGAAGACCCTCGCGGGCTACTCTTGGGGGCCTCCCTCCCTTTGCGCTTCCCCCGACCCCTCCAGCGCAGGCTTCCAGTTTGGTTTCCAAAAAGATACCAAAGATTCTCCAGGGCAGCTAGGAAATAAAGTAGCTCAAATGGACGGAGTTTGAGCTTTGAAAGGTGGGCTGGGACCCTGGGGTCTTTGCACAAGATGGACACAGGCTAGTGCCTCCGGAGCGTCAGTCTCCTTGTCAGCAAAAGGGAGACACTGCGTGCTTGACCCGTTGAGCGAATTGGAGAGATTGTAAAATATCTGTCTAGTAGTGTGTCGGGAGGGGAGGATGTGGGATGATGGGTTCCCAGACCAGAGCCCCTTTATCCCTGGGAATCCCTCAAAGAGTCAATCAGAGGGTACCCATCTGTCAGCGTCCTGGAATCAAATCTGCTCTTGCCCTGTGGCCACTGGACTCTGCTCCTAGCTCCTGTCCAGAATGGTTTCTATAGAAGGTGGTGGTTATTACTTACTGTGTCAGGTTTAACAGAGGTGAGGGTGGAGAGTGGGGCTAACTTGCTGCATTAACATTTCTTTTTTCAGAGCTCTGTGGTATTCGCAGATAACCTGTGTGATTATGCATGGATTGCTGGAGTATGGGCTTTGGGGAAGGAAACACCACACATTCACACAGAACTAATCAGGTTGAAATGTGTTGCTCAGTTCTTAATTTATCAGCAGGACCTTTCCATCTTCAAGAACGAGGAATTTAAATTTATTTATTTGACTGTCCTGCCGGGTTTCCAGGTGGTGTTCTAGGCTCTGCAGATAGAGCAGGGAACCAGACAAAGCCCTGTCTTCATTGGGCTTACATTCTAGAGAAGAGGCATAGGCAAGCAAATAAAGAAGAAAATTTCACATAGTGATGTGTGCAGTGAAAAGAAAACGGAGGATTGAGATACGGAGTGATTGGAGGAGGGCTGGGGAGCAGAGCAGTACTGCTTTTGCTCAGGTGGTCAGGGTGGTCTCTTGGCGGCGATATTTGAACCATGACCTGAAGGGTGAGTAGGAGGTAGCCACGTGAACACTCGGAAGAAGTGTTCTTCTTCTTCTTGGAAGAAGTGGGCATACCGATTGCAAGGAAATCATTGTATCCTGAGAAGAAATCCTCACACCCAATTTATGCTTAAAAAAAAAAAAAAAAAATCACTCCCGTTGCCATGGAGAGAACATTTAGGCCTGGGGGTGGGGGAGGAATGAACATATAAAAAGGGAAATAAGTTCAATTCTGGACAAATTGAGTCTGTAAGGCCTCCAGGTCAAGATGCACTGCAGGCAATTTGAAATTTGTATTTGCAATTGAGGAGAGTGATTGGATAGACTTGGAAATCTTCAGAAAATAGAAAAATATCTGATGCTTGGCTTGGATAGGAAGGTCCCGTGAAAATGGGAAAAAAATTATAAACTGCTGTTATGGGTAGAAACCTGGAAATCCCCAGATGTAAGAGGCGGAGTGTCCAGCAGAAGTCCGATAAAGAGACCAAGAATGACTAGCAAAGCCGGAGAGGACAGACAGGGTGGTAGGTGTCTAGGGAACAGAGTTTTGTGGAGGGGGGAGAGGGGCCGTTAAGAGCGTCAGATGCTGCAGGAAGAGCAAGCAGGACAAAGATGGAAAAGAGGCCATTGTATTTCACAATTGCAAAGCCATTAGCCATGAGAATCATTTAAACAACCATCCCATCATTAGAATGGCTACAGTATAGCACTACTCTTTAATAATACATGCTCTTAGAAAGGAATTAGGTAAATTGATATGACTAATAAGATAGGCAGATTGTTAAAGTCTAAAAAGCAAATGATGGAACAGTATAAATAGCCCAATCTATTAGTATCAAAAGAAGCTCTCTGGGAAGCAAGGTAATTTTTTGAGAAAGACGGTGTGAGGCAGAGAGAGGACCTCATGAAAGGTTGGAAACAATGTGTCATGGGGATGGCCCCTGCATTTATGCTATTTTCTCCAGTAGAGCTTGGCATAATTAGACGAACTCAAGTTGGATACAGGGAGGGAAGGCAAATTCAGAGCGAGTTCAACGTGCTGGGGAAGCCCATGGCATCTAGGGTAGAGAGGAAAGGCAAAGCTCAGGAAGGTACCTATACAGGGAAAATAGAGAACCTTAAGGATGGTTGCAAAAAACCAAAGGGAAGTTTTAGTACCAGTGGAAAAGGGGTGCAGGTGTTGATAGTGAGCATTTATTGAGCACTTACTCTGTGGTTTCCCTGAATTATTCATTAACTCCTTGCAAATCCGTGAGGGAGGAATATAATTGACATTTTACAGAGGAGGAGACGGAGGCCCTGAGAGATTAAGAAAATCCCCAAGGTCACATACTAGCAAAGGACAGAAACAGGATTGAAGTCAGGTTTTACTCATTTACTCACAATTGCAATGTGCTACATAGAAAGCTATGATTGCACGGAAGTCCTTCCGAGGTGGGATTGCTCTGGAAGATTGGATGTGGCATAAAGATTAAGTAGTTTGGGTTAAGGCAGATGAAGAAGCCACAGGATGAAGTGGCTAATAGGATGATGGAGGCAGGTTTGGGGGCTGTCCAGAAATGAGGTGCAGAAGAAAATTCCGAGTTGGTAGAAACTTTGCGATGAAGATGGCAGGGGGGCATAGAGCTGGATGACGTAAGCATAAAACAAGAAGCCTGGTTTGTGCAAGAGAGGGGAATATAACGAGATTTAAGATGGCGCTTGCCTACAAATGGCTTTCCGTTGAATAGGGGAGGTAAGACATTAGTAGATTATTAACAGTAAGTGGTAGCAAATGTTAATTGCCAAGTAAGAGTTGTAGACCCCAAGTTCAGAAACTTTGCTCAGGATTGACTGGTCCCTTGATCTGGAGCCGGAAGGTCACCAGCCCATGATTGGTACATCTTTGTTCCTTCTCAGGGAGAGAGAAAGCTCTCTACTCATCTGGCTTTTGGGGATCAGATTCTTAGGTATGTTTTGTTTCTACCAAAGCATTATCAAGAGAATCATGACGAGTACCTACACGGTGGGTTTGGAAGGAATAAGAAGAAAAAAATCTAAAATAATTGTTGTGCTTCTGTTTTGGGTCCCCCCCACCAAGAATTGGGGCAGTATTGGAGATAAGTAATCAGATAATCCAACTAAAACACAACTTTACCAGGTTGGGTGCCGAACCCGCCACAGAAGAGGAAGGCCCGTGTGATACAAGGTGTCATTTGGTCTATTCCTCTGGGATCAGAATCTGGAGCCTTTTTTTAGGGAACTGCTTCTACGCATTGACTCAAAGTGTGGTTTGAGGGTGCCTGGGTGGCTCAGATGGTTAAGCGTCTGCCTTCGGCTCAGGTCATGATCCCAGGGTCCTGGGATCGAGTCCCGCATCAGGCTCCTTGCTCAGTAGGGAGTCTGCTTCTCCCTCTCCCTCTGCCTCTCCCCCTGCTTGTTCTCTCTCTGTCTCTCTCGCAAATGAATAAATAAAATCTTTAAAAAAAAAAAAAAAGACAAAGTGTGGTTTGAGGCACCTCCTTGCCTGGGCTGGGTGTTGGATGTTGGATGTTCCTGTGTGGGAGTTCTGGGAAGCAGAGCTGAGGGATGAGACTCCTTTCCTCCCTGACAGTCGAGGGGTTGATGTGAGCCTGAAAAGTGGTGGCAACCTTGGTTACTGCCTGAAGGAGAGAGTGGGGGCCCAGCGTGTGGGGCTCAGAGACAGAGAGGAGCAGGGATTTGCTTTTTGTATGTGTTTCCAAACTACTTTTCTCCCTGGGGGAAAAACCTGAAAAATGGTGCAAGAAATATGCTAAGCAAAAAAAAAAATTATTTTTAATGGCTTAGAAAGAGGGTTTTCAATACATCTTCCAATGGGAAAAAAGAGACGCTGAATGAGTTCTAGGGTTTGAATTTTGTAGAAAATGGCTCAGTTAATGTGTTTGTCACTTCCCCAGCCTAGCCATGTTTTTTGTGTCTTTGGACAGAGAAAGCATTGTTCTGACTAAACTTAGAGCATATTATCTGTGATACTGAAACTATTTAAAGATTTCTTGTTTTGATTTTTTAAAAAGCAGATGAATAAGATAATTATCTACAGTTCATAGCAGCCTGCGTTCCTTCAGTTTTAGGACTTATTTGCAATGCAATTTGCATGCACCGTTAAGAATTACAAGGAGTAAACCAGTAGTTTCCTTTATTTAAAAAAAAGCATAGTACTTTTTTTTCTCCATGATAAGTGTATGCTTTAATCCCCATCACCTATTTCACCCATCCCCCCACACCTACCTCCCATCTGGTAACCAGCAGTTGGTTCTCTATAATTAAAGTCTGTTTCTTGATTTTTCTCTCTCTCTCTCTCTTTATTTTTCCTTTGCATGTTTGTTTTATTTCTTAAATTCCCCATATGAGTGAGATCATATGGGTATTTGTCTTCCTCTGACTTATTTCACCTAGCATAATACTCTCTAGTTCCATCCATGTTGTTGCAAATGGCGAGATTTCATTCTTTTTTTATGGCTGAATAATATTCCTTCGTATACATACCACATCCTCTTTATTTGTTCATCTATTGATAGATACTTGGGCTGCTTCCCTAGTTTGGCTATTGTAGAAAATCCTGCAATAAACATCAGGGTGCATGTATCCCTTTGAATTAGTGTTTTTGTATTTTGGGGGTAAATACCCAATAGTGTGACTCCTGGATCATAGGGTAGTTCTTTTTTTTTTTTTAAATATTTTATTTACTTGAGAGAGAGAGAGGGAGAGGAGAGAGAGCACGAGCAGGGTGAGGGGCACAGGGAGAAGCAGCCTCCCCACTGAGCAGGGAGCCTGACGCAGGATTGGAGCCCGACGCGGGATTTGATCCCGGGACTCCGGGATCATGACCTCAGCCAAAGGCAGATGCTTAACCAACTGAGCCACCCAGGTGCCCCAAGGGTAGTTCTATTTTTAATATTTTGAGGAACCTCCATCCTGTTTCCCACAGTGGCTGCCCCAGTTTGCATTCCCACCAACAGTGCACCAGGGTTCTTTTTTCTCCACATCCTCGCCAACACCAGTTGTTTGTAAACCAGTAGTTCCTTTATCTCTAATTGTCTTTTTTTTTTTCATCTCAACAAGGAAAACTCACTATTTCAGACTCATTGGAAAAGGCCAGTTTGAATTATAGAATAGTTTTAGAGAAATACATTTCTTCTATTTTTAAATGTGTAACTTTAACTAGGGTAACAAGACGTTGACAAATAGGTTTGAGGCCCTTCTGTAAATTAATTAAGGCCTTTAATTTGCAAGTTAACCCATGTTGTTTCAACACACCTAGATGGTTAACACTTATCCCGGAAGTACTATAGACTAGATGATGATTTTGTAAGAGTTTTATTTCCATTATATATCTTACTGAATCCTCACAATAGCCATGCGAGGCAGGCACTGACTCCATTTTATGGATGAACACACTGAGGCACAGAGAGTTAAAGCCCCAACTTAAGTCCCACAGCTATAACCCCCCCCCGCCGCCCCCCACAGGTGCTGGGCTTCTAAGTCTGAGTGCTTGACCATTACTTCATGCCGCCTTTGACTACAGGTTACCATGACGGCTCTTATCAATAGGTTGGTTTTGCCATTTGTTTATCATTCTTTTCTTCTTTTTGACATCAGTTATTAGGCACTTATTATACACCAGGAAATGTCCTAGGAACTCTTAAGTAAATCTCTCTCTCTCCCACTCATTTTGTTTGTTTGTTTTAAAAAATAGACGTGTATTTCTCATAGTTCTGGAAGCTGCAAGTCCAAGATCAATGTGCTGGCTGATTTCATTTGGTTAGGACTCTCTTACTGGCTTGTAGATAACTGCCTTATTCTTCCCATTGTGTCCTCACATGGCAGAGCGAGAGAGAGAGAGAGAGAGAGAGAGAGAAGAAGGGGGAGAGATGGGGGAAAGAGAAAAAAGAGAGAGTGTGCTAGAGAGCTCGCTGGTTTTTTCTTAGAAGAGCACTAATTCCATCATGAGGGCTCCACCCTCATGACCTAATTATTTCCCAAAGGCCCCACCTCCTCATGTCATCACAATCGGGGGGGGGGGTTAGGGCTTCAACATATGAATTTTAGGGGGGGGCACAATTCAGTCCATAGCACTGTAGAGGCCGCTTCCTTGCAGCAGATCCTCAAATGGGGTTATTCCTGACTCCTTTGGAGACTCTCTGTTCTCTGTTAATCTTACACCAACCCTGACCATAGGTTTTATTGTGTCTTGTTTAAAGGAGGGGGAAACTGAGTCTCACGCAGGATGAGTACTTTCCCTAGCATCACAGCCAGTAAGGGTCAGCGCTAAGCTCTAGAACACAGAGAGGAATGTAGGCTCTGAGATGCAGCCAGAACCGGGGCGGGGGCCGCAGGGGGAGAGGGGGGGAAGGGGGGACAGTAAGGGATTTGCATGGTAGGAGGAATGGGCTCAGAAGACCACTAGTTAATGATGCCACCACCTGGAAGGGCTCCAGGAAGTGGAGTGCGGAGTGTGTGTGTGGTCTGGAAGGGGAGCCAGAAAATGCCGTGCACTTGAATGATCTCCCTGGGGCCTCATGTGGGTTGGGGTTCTTGTCTGGCCTTTACCGTGGCCTGCCAGAGGATCTTCTGGAGGCTCCTCACGTACAGCTGCTGTTCAGGCTCTGACAGGGAACTGTGGTGTTGATGGTTACAGCAGGCGCAAGGAGTTCTCAGGGCTGGAAAACAGAGTTGCTCTGTACAAATTCAGTAGTTGCACCCAGCCAATTTGCGGATAGAGGCAGAGCAAAAGTGATACTTTTCAAAGAGGCAGATGACACACACCATTTGGCTAACAATCTGCCCCTGGTAGATATGAATTTCCAGAGCCTTGAGCAGCAGTGCTCTTTATGCAAGGAGGCAAATCGAGACAAATCAGTTTGGGCTGGAGCTCAGGTAGTCTTGGGTAGTCTGTGGATGGGGAATGTGTCATTCGTTAACTCATTGAACATTTTTGAGCACTTACTGTATTCCAGATCAGTGTTCTGAGCAGTGGGGTTTCCACAGTGACTCAGACATAGTCTCTGTCAGAAGGCACTGACATTCTAGTGGGAGGAGACAAGACAAAGCACACAGACATACATGTGTCACATCCAGTGGGAGCACATGCTGGGAAGGAAAGTAAAGCTGGGGAAAAGGAATATAGAGATGAGTAGGAAGGAAGGGGGTGCTATTTTCTATAGGTAATCAGGTAAGTCCTCTCTGTGGAGGTGACATTTAAGTGGGGACTTGAAGGAAGTGAAGTGTAAGCCATATAGAAATCTGGGGGAAGAGTATTGTAAGCAAGAGGAAGAGCAGGTGCAAAGCTGTTGAGGCAGGAGCATCCCTGGCATGTTCAAGGATCAGCAAGAAGAACGTGGCTGAAGCAGAGTAAAGGAGGTAGAGAATGCCTGCAGACAAGTCAGAGAGGTAGTCCCCGTGGGCCATGGTGAGGACTCAGGATTGTACTCAGAGAGAAATGGGGAGCCCCTGAAAGAAGACGAGAAGAAGACAGCAGTACTCCGGCTGCCATGTTGGAATGGGGTGGGGGTGCCCGGGTGGAAGCAGGGAGGCAAGTCTGACAGCTATGGCATGGTCCCCGGAGAAATGATGGTGGCACGGACTGGGAGGTAGCAGTTGGGATGCTGACGGCGGTCCCGGTTAAATTTTGAAGGAATCGATGATAGAATTTGCCAATGGGTTACATGAGGGAATGAAAGAAAGAAGGCAACAACAACTCCAACATTTTGACCTGAGCAAATAGAAAAATATGTTGTCTTTTGCTGAGGTAGGAAAGGGCTAAATTTGGAAGAAAATGAGTTTGGTTTGGCTGGTGTTCCAGAACCCAGAACTGGGGTGGGCCTGGGTGGGAGCTGGACCATAAGTTTGCCCTTCCAAAACCTGAGCTAATGTTTTGAGTCCTGGAGGAGGAGAAGGGTAGACAGCTGGGGGACGTGCCAGAATGAAATGACGTACAAATGGGTTCTATAACAGACAAGCCCGAGTGAGCCAGAGGCTGGAAGCGGCAGAAGTCTTTTCAAGGAGGCTGTCTGGGAGCCTTTGAAAAGACAGCTCTGAGGGCCCCATCTATGAGGAATTTGGGAGAGAAGATCAGAGAGTAAGAGGGCTGAGCAAGACCTCCAGAAATAAGTGAGGCCTGACCTGAGCTTCTGCAGAGGGGTTGAGCTTGGGATACAGAGGGAGAGAGGGAAAGAGGAGAGGGTGCAGGTGCAAGAAAGACAAATGACCAGAACACAGAGCTGGGAAAGGTCACGACTGGACTGAAGCCCAGCCTGGGGATGGGGAGGCAATGATGTCGGGAACCGGGCTGGAAAATTGGGATAACTCTGCATGATGAAAGCTTCAGGCTGACTAGCGGATGTGGTGGAAGTATGCAGGAGTCATCAAAGAACAGGAAGCAGCAGGACAGCTGTGGAATGAGTTGGGTGCTAACACTTCCCTGGTGTACCCTTTCTCGGTGATCTGAAAGTAAAAGTAACTCGTTCTTCACCTTCATTTTCCCTCCCACATCTTTACTGTTCTAACCATAAAATTTGCATATCCAGTGCTAAGCAAAGGAAAGGTGGGCTAGTACTCTATTCACTACATGAATAGGCCAATTTTCTGGAAGAATTTTTCCCAATAGGACTGACGGAAGTTCCCACCATAGTATATCGTTCTGAAGTGTTTACTGTAATGACCAGACCACTCAGAAGTTTGTGTCTGCACGAATCCCAAGACACATGTACTTCAACAGGTAATCTTTCCTAGGCAGAGGAGGCTTTTACAATGCATAGACACGTAATAGTATACGTAATAACATTTATAATAATGTATGATGATACTGTCCATATTTCTAAGTCCATAAATATAAGTCCAATATACTTATGAACATAGTGTTACTTATATTCATGCTGCTATATAATTTAGATATAACAAACATTTCAAACAATACTATCAGGTTAACTATAAGACATCAAATGGATATTTCTTTGTATGATGCCAAAAGTTAGGAGCAGAATTCTCTGTTCATTTCAGTACTAGATCTTTTATCAGGTTTCGTGAAACAAATTATTTTCCCCCACAGAGCTTTTCATAGGTTGATAGAATGTAATCTAACGTCATATTGATCATCAGACCTCTTTTCTGTTTTCCATATTATTCTTCTTTTCAAATGATACCCATTTTTGCTTATTTACGTTTTACAAATAAATTCCCCATGAAAAATATTGTAACCAAAATAATTTGATTTACAGATTATGGACGATTGGCCAGGATATGACTTGAATTTATTCACATACCCGCAGCACTATTATGGAGATTTGGAGTATGTCCTCATACCTCATGGCATCATTGTGGACAGGTAAGTGTTGTTTCTTGTGTCAGCCTGGGTTCTGCGCTGGCCGGGCCCCCCTTGTGCACATCATATAATACACTTTACGACCCTATTCCTGAGTGTCTCCTATATAGAAGTAGACAGAAATTTTATAGGACAGAGAATTTGGAATAAAACGAATCTCTGCTTTAATTGAGCTGGTTACCTGGACACTCGTTCAGGGGAAATGATAAGAATATATATATATATATTCTAGAAATAGTTCCATGCAGATATTTTTACGTTCTGTGCATATATATATATATATATATATTATATGTAACAGCCTCAAAATAACAATGTCCTGCACAAACTGATAAAAACAGGGTTTGGGAAAGCATTGCTGTTTACCTGAGGACCTCTGTCTTAGATTTTTCACAGACGCTTGAGTTAACCAAGGATAATTAACAGGTGAACTTTACCTTCATGGGACACACCCCTGCAGCCCTGGCTTTTCCTGCAACTTGGCATATATCTCAGATCAAGCAATGTATCACAAATCAGCAAGCCTGTGCCAGGTTATGGTTTCCAGGCAGTGGTAATGTTTTGGGAATAGGCATATTTTCAACTTAAAAATATCTGCACAGAACTATTTCTAGAATGCTATTTCTAGTTCTTTCTGACCCGTCTATATAGAGATCCTTTAGCTCCTTCCTAGCCAATTGGCTTTCTAAAAGCCAACATTTTCTCGCCTGTTCTAAGCCCATAAGTCACCATTTGTTTCTTAGTTTTCAGAGAGCATCCTCCGCTTGATCCCACCCTAAGCATCAGGATTTAAAGGTCATACCCTTTTCACAAAACTGCCTAATGCGCAGACTATAATCATTCCGTGTACCTCTCTGTTTTCTTGTACAAAGATCAAATACTTAAGCCTTCACATTTACGTGGAAAGCAAGCCTCACAGTGCACTCCCAGGAACATAGAGATTCTTCAGACACCCAGAAATGGGGGGTGGGAGAGGCACTGGGGGGTAGGAACAAATTGAAACTTTGGACTTGCGATGCTACCTTTTTTCTTAAACCATAGTACTTCTGCCTCTATTTTTTTAAATCTATTATATTCTTCTGAGTTAATATTTAACTTTATGAAACAAGTCCTTAGCCAAACTAAAGTTTGGAAAACACTAGACAGTCACTATTCCCAGGATGTTATCTTTCCATCAATTCCTGTCTATACCAAAAGGAAATGTCATTCTTTCACTCTAAGAATTTTCCATTGGGTAAGACTTGCATAGTCCACGTCCTCTCAAACTATAGTATATTATTAAAATAAGGTCTAGTTTGGAGTTTCTCATGGCCTAAGATGGCTTTTCATGGAATACAAGTCCCAATCCTCAGAGGGAACAAAATGTTCTGTGATCAAATAAACTTGGGAAATTTTGCATCTCTCAAATGGCCAAATCTCCCTGTTAGCAATTCAAATTGAAGATACGGAAATTCCTGCAAAAAAGAAAAAAAAAGAAAGAAACCTGCTTGACTCTAACAATTAAACCAACTTTTGTTGTGCAGTGGAGTCCTTGTATTCAGCTCACCTCTTAATAACTCAGAGGCATTTTCCCCTTAACAAAGGTTTGGGAACCCCCTGGTTTAAACAAATTCTTGCTTTTCTCACCTGAATTTTATGACTTTAGTTAATTGCATCCTGATCTAGTACCTGATTGGGCTGCTAAGGCTACCGAAAGCCAGTTCCCAGTACAGGAGACTTAACCAGTGAACTTGTTAAAAATGTGTATTCTTTTTTTTTTTTTAAGCTTTTATTTATTCATGAGAGAGAGAGAGAGGAGAAGCAGAGGCAGAAGGACAAGCGATTCTGTGCTGAGTGCAGAGCCCCATGTGGGGATCCATCCCATGACCCTGAGATCATGACCTGAGCCAAAACCAAGAGTCAGACGCTCAATCCACTGAGCCACCCAGGCACCCCATAAAATGTGTATTCTTATGCTTTATGTCTGGAAATCCTGGGGTGGGGCCCAGGAATGAATTTATTAAGTGTAATTTACATACTACAAAATTCACCCATTGTAAGCCAATGAGTCAATGATGTCTAGTAAATGTTTATGGTTGGGCAAGCACAACCATCATTTTACAGTATTTCTGTCATCCCCAAAAGTTTGTTTGCTGTCGGTCCCTATTCCTACTTCCAGCATCAGGCAGTCACTAGTCTGATTCCTTTCTCTATAAATTTGTCTTTTCTGAACATTTCATATAAATTAAATCATACAATATCTAATTATTGATTTACCAATCAGTGGTTATTTGGATGTCTAGTTTTGGGCTACTATGAACAATGTATCTATGAACATTCGCATGTAGGTCTTTGTGTGGATATACCTGTTCATTTCTCTTGGATTCCTTGGAGTGGTATTCTGGGTTTTATGGTTAAGTTTAAGAAACTGCCAATTATTTCCAAAGTGGCTGTACCATTTTACATTTCTACCAGCAAGGATGAGGAATCCAGTTTCTCCACATGGTTGCCAACATCTAGTATCGCCTGTCCTTTTGACCATAGCCATTCTAGTGGGTATATAAAAGTATCTCATTGTGGTTTTAATTTGCATTTTCCTATCGTTTAGTGTGCTTGTTAGCGATTTATGTTTTCTTTGAAGAGATGACTATTTAAGTCTTCTGCCATTTTTACATTGGGTGGGTTGTTTGTCTTCTTACTGAGTTGTAAGCGTTCTTTATATATTCTGGATATAAGTCCTTTACCAGATATATGATTTTTGAATACCCCACCCCCCATCTGTGGCTTGTCTTTTCATTTTCTTATTTATATCTTTGAGAAGAATGCTAGATGACGTATTCTATAAATGCTAGTTAGGTCCAGTTGATTTATGATACTGTGTGGTTCAAGTATATCCTTAGTGGTTTTCTGACTACTGATCTGTCAGTTACTGAGAGAGAAGTATTGAGATCTCCAAATGCAGTAGTGGATTCTAGTTCTGTTTGTTTGTTTGTTTTTAAAGATTTTATTTATTTATTCATGAGAGACAGAGAGACAGAGAGAGAAGCAGAGGGAGAAGCAGGCTCCCCGCTGAGCAGGGAGCCCGATGCGGGACTTGATCCCAGGACCCTGGGATCATGACCTGAGCTGAAGGCAGACGCCTAGCCATCTGAGCCACCCAGGCGCCCAGGTTCTGTCAGTTTTTTGACACTCTTTGTTGTTAGATGCACGCACATTAAGGATTGTTATGTCTTCTTGGAAAATTGACCTCTTTATTAGTGTATAATGCTCTCTTTATTCCTGATAATTTCCTTGCTCTGAAATCCGCTTTGTCTGAAATCAATAAGCTACTCCTGCTTTCTTTTGATTAGTGTTAGTACAATATGTCCTTCTCCATCCTTTTACTTTTAATCTATCAGTGTCTTTATAGATAACATATGTTAGGGTCTTTTTTTTTTTAATCCACTCTGACAGTCTCTGTCTTTTACTTGGTATATTTAGATCATTCACATTTAAAGTGATTATTGATATAGTTGGTTTCATATCTACCATATTTGTAATTATTTTCTGTTCACTGCCCTTGTTCTTTGGTTTTGTTTTTTGGGGTTTTTTGTTTGTTTGTTTTGTTTTCCACTCTGTGGAATCTGTATCCCCCACAGTGCATGGCCTCTGATAATAGGCAGTCTATTTTTCTTGTTTTTACTTTGTAAGCCTCACTTACTAGGACTCACCCCTGTGTCTGAATAGTTTAGCCTTCAGTCTAAGATTGGCTAGAGATTGTACTCAAACACCTTAAGCCCTGATGAATGTGTGTGGGGACTGTCAAGCATATTCAAATTTCCAGCCTTTTTCAAGTCTTCCCCAGCTTTTATTTTTCATTGTGCTTTCTTGTGTCTCTGCTGCGCACGCTTACGTGCTCCATCATTCAGGAATGTATAGGTAACCTGGTCCCATGCCGGTCTCTGCTGGGCATATGCATAGCTTCTGGTCAACTTGAGATATGTGAAGAGTGTATTGTCTATGCCTCTCCTGTGACACTAACCTCCCAGAACTCCCTATCAAATCCCCGACTAGACTAGTCTGCCAGTTAGTTGCTCAAACAGGAGTGCAACTTCACAATAATGGGGCCATTGGCTCTCCCTGCTCACAGGCTACCAAGATAGCCATACCAACTGACACTGCTCCCCGTGAGGGGAGCTCCCTCTGGCAGTGCCCCACCCTGGGTGAACTACCTGGTTGAACAACAAAGCCGATGTGGGGCACAGGGAGATGGGAGCACTCTCTGGCAAGGATGCCACAGACTTGTGCTCTTTCTACCCATTGTTCAATGTTTTCATGAATAAATGATTCTCAGTTTGTTATATGTCTCTGGTTAACTTCCAGAGTGCTGAAATAGTTGTTTGCGACAGTTTTATCTAGCTTTATAGTTACTTTTTTGTGGAGAGAATGTGTTGACCACCTCATTCCATTATGCTGAAAACAAATGTCCCTTTTTGCAGACTATCTGGCATGCTGACATACATTTTCTTGATGATCATATTTTGAGGAACATCGTCTGAAACCACGGTTGCCATTTAATATGTATATGTTTATACATATGTATGCATATACACACACATATATAACTTATATAAAATATATTATGCAATAGATATATAGAACATATGTAATATAATGCTTTATAGAGAGAGATATACATACATATACACACATACACATATATATTCATATATATATATATATATATATATATTCCGATCATTCATTTAACACATTTTAAATCTAATTCTATCTGAAGTGCCAGTAGGAATTTTTTTTTAAATATGCACCTGAGCTCCTGCCTCCATTCGAGGCTTTAATGTTGTATGGATGCATGGGCAATGGACTTCTAGACATGAAACAATTAGAAAAAATACAGTGACAGTTCCAAATCAGGCTTTGGGTGCCAGCCCGAGGCTGCATCATTACCTAGCTCCAGGAAGGCATCATTCACATGGTGCTCCATGGAAATGGTGCCTCCTGGAATTGTACCCTGGACACCTTTCACATAGGTAATGTGCCATCTTTGTCAAATAGAAGAGAGAGGTTATTCTTTTGATAGTTTCTGTGTGCTTGACTTTTCTTCCAGTCTCTTCTAATGTTTGTAAGGTGAGTGAATCATTCTCCATGTCCTCTCTCTTTGCTATAAAGTGAGCATAACATCACCAGATATCTTCATAGCATTGCTAACAACCAGGCTCTGTAGTGATAATATAATAGCATTCATGATCTTTGACATATATTTTACACCTTACTCATGTTTGTGACACCAAGGAGCAAAAATGTACTAGGGATGATGTGGTTATCAGAAATATGTTTTGAACACTCTCTCTTTGTCCAGTCTTAACAAAGCTTCTTTATCTGTAGGCTTCTGTCTCCCGAGCTCTCCTCCACAATCCCTTGTGTAATCTAATATGGGTAATGCATCATGCATTTTTTTGAAAGGAAAAAAATACTCAGAAGTACTTATGCTTTAATATGTCTTTTAATCCCTCTTTCAGAACTGAACGGCTGGCTAAGGATATTATGAAAGACATAGGATACTGTGACATTATGATCCTGTGTGTGCTTAAAGGAGGTTACAAGTTCTGTGTGGATCTTCTGGAACACCTTAAGAACATCAGTCGAAATTCAGATAGATTTGTCTCTATGAAGGTTGATTTCATCAGACTAAAAAGTTACAAGGTAAGTTATTAATTCCATTTTCATTATATAATTTTAGAATAAAGAATTTTCTAGAATAAAACAATTGATAATCTGATGAAAATGAAGAATGTTATTTTTTAAATTTGCAGGATACTGCAACCTATAATTGAAATAATATTGTTTGGGGGGGAAACCCTCTTTCTGTTATCACATATATGGAAAGATGCTTCAGGAATGATTCATACTTTCTTTTATGGTTATAAAGCTGAGTGGTTATTTCCTGGTGACTAGCCTCACAAATGAGCGTGTTAACAATGAGTGTTAAGAAAGTCCAGTGAGTGCTGACGTGTTTCTGGTCTGGATGTCACCATTGGCCCTAGAGACCTGTGGGAGGGTGTCCAGCCCAGAGAGGACAGTTATTAGTACTGGGGTGGCAGAAGTCTCGGCCTGGAAGTGGAGAAGGGAAGTCTGTGGGACAATGAGTTACCAAGTGCAATGAACCCAAATCAGAGAACCTCCAGCGGAAGGCCCCTCCACCGGTCTGTACTGGGACTTTCTTGGCCCACCCTGGACAGAACCGAGGGAGAGTATCCTCCAAAGATGTCATCCCCTTGGTCTTCCCTCTTCTATGATGTTACCTTCTGTGATGCCTTTTGATTCAATGTATAGTAAATCATTAAAACTAGCCTACTATTGGTTGGGTGAGGAACTGTTGGAGTCAAAATCACCAAAGTATTTTCTGATTAAACTAGCTTGACACATTTAATTCACTCTTCACTTTTCTATTACTGTGTGACAAAATCACCACAGACTTAGTGGCTTAAGCCAACACACATTTGTCATCTCAGTTTCTCTAGGTCAGCCGTCCAGGCTTGGGTACTCTGCTCAAGAGTCTTCCCAGGCTGAAATTAAGACATTAGCCACGGGTGGGATCTCATCTGAGGTTTGCAGATGACTGACCTTTCCAAGATCATTTGTTGGCAAAAGACCACTTGTTGTTGGCAGAATTCAGTCTCCGCTTCCCTGCTGGAGATGCTTTCAGCTCCTACAGGCTGCCCTCGGGTCTTTGCCCCATGGTTCCCACCCCCCCCCTCGCCCCGGGCAGTTCCCAGCACAGCAGAACCTTTCCATCTAGTGAGGGCCTGACCCCTCTTTTAAAAGCTGACCTGGGGCGCCGGGTGGCTCAGTCGGTTGAGCGTCCAACTCTTGATTTCAGCTCAGGTCATGATCTCAGGGTCATGAGATCCAGCCCCGTCTCGGGCTCTGCAATCAGTGCAGAGTCTGCTTGTGATTCTATCTCTGTCCCGTGGGAGTGCATTCACGGGTTCACTAGTCTCACCCACACTCACGTGGAGGAGATTAAATAGGGTGTGTACACCAGGAACAGATGGGCATGTGCCTTAGGGTTCTGCCTACCACTCTCTGTGATTCAGTTACTTCAGCTCTTGAGCAGTTGGCAAATTATTTATTATTTCTTAAGACACTCTGTATTTTCCGGATGACTTCTAAGCTGTTTTTTACAGACATCTTAACCTTAAATTGTTGGTTTCATCTTCTCTTGGAAACCTGTTCTTTAGGTTCCTTTCATCCTAGATTAAGTCACTATGCTTCCGTATAAGATTTTTTTTTTCTCATTTACTTGGCTCTGATCCTTACTGGATTTTCCCCTGGAAAACAGCTTTTTAAACTCTTTTTAAAAATCAAAGTCAGATGTGTTGAAGTATAATTTATATGCAGGAGAAATTATCTGTTTTAGTTTACAGTTTTGTAGGTTTTGACAATTGCATACAGTCATGTAAATCATCACAATCAAGATATAGAACATTCCTCACCATAAAAAATGCCCTTGTGTCCCTTTGTACTTTGTAGTCAACCCTTTCCTCAGCTCCTGGAAACCACTGATACACTTTCTGTCCCTAGAGTTTTGCTCTTTCCAGAAATGTCATATAATGTAATCATATACCACGTAGCCTTAGTACATCTGTAAATCTTAGCATAATTCATTTGAGATTCATCCATGTTGTTATGTATACCAGAAGTTTATTTCTTCTTATTGTCAAATACAATTTCATTATATGGATATATCACAGTTTTAAAATCATTTATCAGAGGCACTTGGGTGGCACAGTCAGTTAAGTGTCCAGCTCTTGGTTTCAGCTCAGGGTCATGAGATCGAGCCCTGTGATGGACTCTACACTCAGCATGGAGTCTGCTTATGATTCTCTCTCTCTCCCATTCCCCCTCTACCCCTCCCCCTGTGCACTCTCTCTCTCTCTAAAATGAATAAATAAATCTTTAAAAAAATTTTTTTAAATAAAATAATTTATCAGCTGAAGAATATTTGGTTTGTCTCCTTCTTGGAGATGATTATGAATAAAGCTGCTATAAATATTCACATACAAGTTTTTGTGTGTACTTGTATCTGCATTTGTCTTAAGTAAATTTCTCTTGAGATTGCTAAGTCATATGGTGAGTGTATATAAGAAATTACCAAACTGTTTTTTAGAAGGATTGAATAATTTTGCATCTCCACCAGCAGTAGATGAGAATTCCAGTTCCTCCATATTTTCCACAACACTTGGTACTGCTAGTTTCCTTTTTCCCCCTTTTTTCCTTTATTTTACCCATTCAAATAAGTGATAATATCTCATTGTGGTTTTAATTTGCGTTTCCCTAAGGAATAATGATATCAAGCATACTTTCATTTGCTTATTTGCTATTCATATAGGTTCTTTGTTGAAATGTTTGTTCAATATCTTGCACATTTCAATAATGTTTTCTTATTATTGAGTTTTGAGAGTTCTTTATATATTTTAGCCACAAATCCTTTGTTAGATATGTGTTTTAAGTATATTTTCAAGCTAGTGGGTTGTTCTTTCATTTTCATGATAGTATTCTTTTTTTAAAAAAGCATAATTTAAACATTTTTATAAACTCCTAATTTATCAATTTTTTCTTTTATGGATCATGCTTTTTGTGTATCTAAGTAATCTTTGCCTCATTCAAGGTCACAAAGATTTTCTTTTCTGTTTTCTTTAAGAAGTTTCATAGTTTTGGGGCACCTGGGTGGCTCAGATGGTTAAGCGTCTGTCTTTGGCTCAGGTCATGATCTCCAGGCCCTGGGATCGAGCCCCGCGTCACGCTCCCAGCTCTGCAGGGAGTCTGCTTCTCCCTCTCCCTCTGCCTCTCCCCCTGCTTGTACTCTCTGTCTCTCTCTCTCAAATGAAAAAATAATAATAAAAAAAATCTGAAAAAAGTTTCATAGTTTTAATTTATTTTTTTAAAATATTTTATTTATTTATTTGACAGAGCACAAGCTGGGGTGGGGCAAGAGAGGGAGAAGGGAGGCTGATGCAGGACAGTTTTAATTTAAATCTAGGTCTATGATCTATGTCATGTTAATTTGTTAATATGGTACCTTTTTTCTTTGCAAGTGAATGTCCGTTTCTTCCAGGATCATCTGATGAAAAGACTATCCTTTCCCATTGTATTGTCTTTGCTATTTCACTGAAAATCACTTGACTGTATAAGTATGGGTCTGTTTCTGGACACTCTGTCTAGTTCTGTTCATCTATATGCTTATCCTTTTGTCAATACCACACTGTTCTGATTACTGTGGCTTTTTAATCAGTCTGGAAATCAGGGAGCCTATCTTCTAACTTTGTTCTTTTCCATACATGTTTTAGCTATTCTAGTTCTCTGCCTTTCCATGTAATTTTTTTTTAAAGATTTTATTTATTTATTTAGAACAGAGAAAGAGAGAGAGAGAGAGCCCAAGCAGGGAGGAGGGTCAGAGGGAGAGGAAGCAGACTCCCCACTGAGCAGGGAGCCCGATGCAGGGCTCGATCCCAGGACCCCGGGATCATGACCTGAGCCGAAGGCAGACGCTTAACCAACTGAGCCACCCAGGCGCCCCTTTCCATGTAAATTTTAAACTCATGTTGTTGCTTTGTACAAAACAACCTGTTAGAAATTTTATTGGGATTGTTTTGAATCTATAGATCCATTTGGGGAGAATTAACATCTTAACACTCTTTAGTCTTCCAATCCATGAACAGGATATATTTCCCAATTTTTTTAGATCTTATTTAATATCTGTGTGTGTCTAATTTTCAAGAGTCAGATCTTAGACATCTTTGGTTAGATTTACACCTAAATATTTAAAATGTTTTTGGTCCTATTGTATTTGGTAAGTTTTTCTTTGAAATTCAATTTCCATTTGTTTACTGCTAGTATATAGAAATACAACTGATTTTGTATATTGAATATTATGACTTTTCAAAACTCTCTGACCAGTTCTAACAGCTTTCTTGTAGAATTTCTTGTAATTTCTTCTGTGAATAGAGATGGTTTTACTTTTTCCTGTCTAATTTGTAGACTTTTTATTTCTTTTTTTTTTAAGATTTTATTTATTTATTTGAGAGAGAGAGAATGAGAGATAGAGAGCATGAGAGGGAAGAGGGTCAGAGGGAGAAGCAGAGTCCCTGCTGAGCAGGGAGCCCGATGTGGGACTCGATCCCGGGACTCCAGGATCATGACCTGAGCCGAAGGCAGTCGCTTAACCAACTGAGCCACCCAGGCGCCCTAGACTTTTTATTTCTTTTTATTGCCTTAATGCACTGGCTAAGACTACCTGTGCAATTCTGAATAGGAATGGTGAAGGAAAACATCCTTGCCGTGTTCTCAATTGGTATGCTATTGACTATTGCATCCCCCAATTTTTGATACTTTGTTTTCATTTTCGTTCAATTCAAACTATGTTCTAATTTCCTTTGTGACTTCCTATTTCACTCATGGATTATGTCTTGTTTAATTTCCAAATATTTGGGGATTTTCCAGAGATAGTTCTGTAGGATTTCTAGTTTAATTCTTTTACAGTAACTATATTTTCTATGATTTCAATTCTTTTAAATTTGTTGAGGCTTATTTTATGACCCAGAATATGGTCAGTCTTGCTGAAACTACCAGGATTGTAATCCAGGTCAGATTAAGCAATACTGCTATCTATCTCTTGTCCATTTCTCTGGACATCTTCTCTT